TGTTACCAGAGCAGGGAGCAGCAGCGGTCAAAATACCTCAGAAACTCGAACAAATAGGCTTTAACAAGGCTTTAATAAGCTAAACAATAGAGGTACATGTTCATAATGAATGAAAATAAATAATTAAATTGTGTTCGTGCCAGTCTCAACCCTGGTCTCCCACTCTCTGGTCCAACACTCTACCCATTGTTCTATTGGAGGCTTGTTGTGAAATGAGCTGCACATTACACAACAACAACCGTGACAGCTTTTTATACTGAGGAGGTGGAGTCTCACCCGGGGTTTGCTAGGTAAGGGGCTGAACGCAGGTTCTGGTGGGTTGTCGTACGGCTTGACATCACAAAATGACGGAAGTATACTTGTCGTTAATATACATTAAAAATGCATTTACTTACAGTAAATATGCCCCTGGGTGCATTTTTTTTGGTCCTAGGACTGTTTTTTTAAGAAGTACATACCCAAAGTTGAGTAAAGAAAAACTTTAAAAAGTGAATTTTGCATAATAGGTCCCCTTTATGGTAAATGGACTGTACTTCTGTAGTACCTTTCTATCCATCCAGGACACTCAAAGCTCTCCACACTACAATCTGTGCCCTCATTTACCCATTCACACAGCACTCTATAGGTCTCTACAAAGCTAACATACAATCCTCTATGGAGACTAATCAGTACGGAGCCTGCAATGGGACATGGGGGGATTTTTTTCTTTTGCGTTCCCTCGCAATACCTTTGCGTTACTTCTCAATACTTTTAAATTACCTTGCAAAATTGTTTTGCGTTCCCACGCAAAAGTTTGATTTGTGTATGAACTGAATTAAATCACACTTTTATTTTGAAATATCTGGTTACCAAAACAGGAAGTGTCGCCACAAGTTCGTGAAACTGACATCGATGTTGCGTGGATGCACTGTGTTCAAATATTGGCATATGACATACTTCCATGCGTGGCTGTGTGATATATTCATTCTGAAGCTGAATTAAAGCAGTAGGCTAACTCGTTAATGATAAACATGCGAGTTTGTTAGTAAACCGGCAAGTACAACAGTGATAAACGACTTTTGCGAGGGAACGCAATACTTTTGCGAGGGTACGTAATACTTTTGCAAGGTAACGCAATACTTTTGCGAGGTAACACAATTCTTTTGCGAGGTAACGCAATACTTTTGCGAGTTAACGCAATACTTTTGCTAGGTAACGCAAAGATTTTGCGTGGGAACGCAATGCTTTTGCAAGGTAACGCAATACTTTTGCGAGGTAACACAATTCTTTTGTGAGGTAACGCAATACTTTTGCGAGTTAACGCAATACTTTTGCTAGGTAACGCAAAGATTTTGCGTGGGAACGCAATACTTTTGCAAGGTAACGCAATACTTTTGCGAGGTAACGCAATACTTTTGCGTGGGAATGCAATACTTTTGCAAGGTAATGCAATACTTTTGTGAGGTAACACAATACTTTTACGAGGTAACGCAATACTTTTGCGAGGTAACGCAATACTTTTGCGAGGTAACGCAATACTTTTGCAAGGTAATGCAATACTTTTGTGTGGGAACGCAATACTTTTGCAAGGTAACGCAATACTTTTGCGTGGGAACGCAAAAAGAAAAAAATCCCCCATGTCCACTCGCGGGCTCAGTAAATCAGTGCCAATCATTCATACACTGATGGGACACACATCAGAGGCATTAGGGGTGAAGTGTCTTGCCCAAGGACACAACGGTAGCTGGAATGGGGGATCAAACCAGCGACCTACCGGTTCCAGGACAACTACCCTAACCACCCTGCCACAGCCGCCCAAAATACAGAAACTTTGTGCAAACAATTCCTAACGTTGAGAAGGTCAGGTTATCCAGAATGTCTCAATGCTGGCAGGGATTCACAATTTCTCTACGAGTCTTGTTGCTTTAGTTCATGTGACAAATGTTCTCGCAACGTAGTTGCTGTGTTCATCTCCAACCCCTCTCCAGAGCTGTAATTTGACACCTGCACAGAAACTTTACTCTATTTACCTTTATTTTATTTACTTTTATTTAACCTAGCAAATCCCCATTAAGATCACAGATCTCTTTTGCCTGAGAGGGAACCTACGGTGCGTGTTTTTTAGWCTGTCAAGGAAATCGGAGTACCYGGAGAAAAGCCACGCAAGTAGGAGGAGAACATGTAAACTCGAACCCGGGACCTTCTTGCTGTGAGGCATCAGTGCTAACCACTGATCCATCRTGCTGCCAACAGAAAACCAATTCTACAGCACAGAATGTCCAGATTTAACCACACTGATAATTAAAACATGGGTCTAAATCTGCCCTGTGATGGACTAGCAACCTGTCCAGGGTGTACCCCGCCCCTCACACGGTGACTGCTGGATGTGGGCACCAGTGGCCCTTAAAGGAAAAAGAGGAGGATGGATGGGTCTAAATCTGTCTATATTCATAAATTTACTCCCCATAAACACGATGCAGCTGCTGAAGGGCAATGAAAAAAAATGTGCACGGCCATAAAAACAAATCTGCCAACCATCYACTGGAATAATAAGTTGTCAGCTTAAAACCGTGCAGCTGCTTTTTCACAATTTTCTCCCCATTTTGAGTTACCAACTCGTCTCTATTGGTCCCAGTCCAACAAGATACGGCTGTAGGACAGGACCACTATGTTCAAACTCAAAGATAGGGAAAAAAWATATTTAAAAAAGTGTTTCAACAGTAAACCACACAGAAAAAGAGAACCACTCTGGTCAGTGACACAAATATCTTTATTACAAGCTGTGGTCGAAACTAGTGATGCCAGCATTTTTACAAATACTCATCCAAAGTGCCCCAGTACACAGAACTGATATTGATGGAGTTTAGAAAAGTTTATCAGGTTCATGTTTTATGCAAACAAAGAAAACATTTAAGTTTTGCAACAGTATATATTATTCTGCATTTGATTTGATCCAATCAGGATCAGGTCTAAAAGGAAGGAGAGCCACTTCGTTCTAAATAAAAACTGAGTTTTTAACATCATCATGTACTGTTTAAGCTTTAACTCAACTTATTTGATGTGTCTTTGCTTGATGATTTTGATKATGKCATTGGCAAATGTGATGTTTGTTGCTTGTTTCATAATTGTGGTTTTTATGATGTMAAGCACTCTGAACTGCCTTGTTGCCGAAATGTAGTGACTRTACAAATCAACTTGACTTAGAAAAACTGGCATCAGGACACCCTTAATCAAAACTACGTTATACTATATTATTTATTTGTTATTTTCTTACTTTTTTTCTCAAATTGTAATGATTCTCAATGTCATTCAAATGGAACGTGTACCTCTGATAAACCTCTGACTGATCTAGACYCTGTTCTTGTTAAGGACCACTCACTAATCGGTTTCTCAAGCGTTAAGATRATTAAAAAAACGACCAGATTAAAAAAATCAACTCTTTTAAAGAGTAACTTACCCCAAAATTAACTAACTTACCCC